AATTAAAATGTGGGTGTAAAATGGGGGATCAATTCTATATTATAATCAATGTATAAACTGATCTCTCATTTTGTGGCTATGTAAGTTTCCATACATTTATATTCAAGAGAATGTAAATAAATCTAAAAGACATGCCTGTGTGGCTAATCAGTATTTCATTGCTTGATCGATTCGTTTTCTATGGCTTATCAACCCTTTACAGGTTATTTAAAGCCCAAATATATTTTTAGATTGTAAAAAAATGGGGGGGTAGATAATAATGGTTTAGTGATATAAGTCTTACTAATTAACCCATAACTGGGGGAGAAGAGGTGAATTCATACCTTTCTCAAGGGTATTGCATATAAGTGAATTCTTCTCTCCGATTAACAATTCTGAGTCATTATCCATTATACCACTTCCACATCCAAGCTTATAGCACCGGATATTTCCAAGTGGTTACATATTTAGGTACTGACCAGGCTTGCCATTGCTTAACTTTGGTGATTGTAAGGGAACCGGTTTATATTTATTAAATATATAAAGCCACAGTTATCAAGTACAATACACAATTTTACTGGGGTTTTTTTGTAGCTTATTTCAAAATATAGAATTAAAATAAATGTCAACACTGCTTACTTCCATTTATTACCAAACTGTTAATTGATTGCTATATTCAGAGCAGAAGATTGATTTATTAAAATAACTAAAACCAGTGTTTATAAAGACACAAAGTTCACAACATTTCAGGAATCATTTATTTAATATTCTGCATATTATAAGTTATATTTCAGAATATATAGTATTGATAAATATCAACATGGCTTACCTCCCTTTGCTGCCAAGTTAAATACTATTAGGTTGGTGCAAAAATAATGACGTAATAATCTCGTTTTTTGATGTACGTTTCTACCTCAAAAAACGACATTCTTACGTCATTATTTTTGCACCAACCTAATAAAATGGTTGCCACTTTCAAAGCAAAAAATGACTTTATTTGGATAACTAAAGCCAATATTTATAAACTACACTACGTTTTTATTGTTTTTTTTTTCAGTTTACTTCAAAATATACTAGAAAACAGTATCAACATTGCTTACTTCCCTTTATACATGACTTCCATTTCCTCTAAAGCTATTTGCAAAAGTGGTTATCATGTTCAGGGAAAAAATGTCTGATTACTTGAAGCCAGTATTTATAATAACAACAAAGAATGTATTTAGCTGAAAAAAAAATGATGACCTCTATTTCTGGAGGATAACACTTTTAAGGTAAGCAGTATTTCTAAACAAAGTGCTCAATGTTAAGAAATAGAGCATTAATAGCAACAAATAAAATTAAATGTTCAACACTTGAATGTATAGATTGTGGCTTACCCCATTTGGTTTTGCCAAATGCTTGTTAGGTGGCATTAAGTTCTAAAATAAGACAAATATTTCCTGCCCCTTCCTTCTTCTTGAGATGTAGTAGAACATAGATGAAAACATTCCTCAATGGGTTGTTTCCCCAGTCTACAGACAACTCATGCATGCATATCACACACACACACAAACAAGCACATTCTTAATAGCTAAGTGTCTAATGTCTTTTCCTTCCCTTTCAATTGTGTTGACTAGGAGTTGGCCACCTTTAGAAGAGCATGGGCCAGAAAGCTATGCTATGTCTCAGAGGAGGGCCATGATATCAAATGTGCTATAATAAATTGTCTTGAACTCAGACTACCCCATCCTGAAGGCTGCTCTGATCTTGAGGTTTGAAGGAGAAACAATAAAATTGATGTTATATTATTTAAACAAGGTTCCTTATTTTACTGCTGGAATAACAGGACAGCAACTAACACAATTAATCCCTTACTACAAATGAAATACAGTTAGAAATGGCAAATTATATAATGAGACACTTGTTTCTGCTTATTGTTTGATAACTTCTCCACATCAGGAGAAATATTTGTCACTGACAGGAGCAAAACATATTCTATGTGGTCATCACCCAACTTTGTTCTTAAATAACCTTTGGTATATTTCATTTTAGAAAAAAGTTGTTTCCAAGCACATGTAAATCCAAAGTAATGATACCATCATTTTCGCATTATTCAATAGCCAATGAATCATGTCATGGTGCTCTTTTTCTCACAGATGGTGCCCAACTGACCCTACTATATTGTGCAGTTGACAAAATCAAAAACAAACAACGTGCATGTGCAAAATTAAAAATATAAAATGGCAACAATTTACCAATCACACCTTGGAGGTATTTTTCTTAATGGTCCCTAAATAGGTATTTGTGCTAATGGTCTCAATCTCTCCAATTTAAAATCTCACCTGGTAAAGCTTTTTCCAGGTAGTCAATATTTGACTGAAAGTTTACAGGCATTCTCTTGGGAATGGAAGGGTATGTCTGAGACAAGATGATGCCAAGACTTGGGATCAGCAACAAGAGAAAGTAAGCATATCTGAAAGAATAAAGAAAAAAAATGAATGATGCATAAAAGATAAAGAAAAAGGTTTGCATGGTTAATGCAGAATAAAGAAAAGGAATTTGCTTGAGGAATAATTTGGTTTGATTTGGTTTGGTTTGGTTTACGGCATATCAACCTCAGTGGGTTATTTAATGCTGACAAAATTTTTATTGCTGGTAATGTTTTTCTTCAAAAATCTATTTCTGGGAATATTTTTCCTTAAAGAAATCTATAGCTGGTCATATTTTTTCCAAAGAATAAATAGCTGTTTGTATTGCTGGTATTTTTTTTGTTGTAAAGTATTGCTGATAATAATTTTTCCTTCAAAAAGTATTGCTGGTAATATTTTTTTTATTAGTATTTCTAGTATTAAAACCTATTTTTACACTTTCAATACTGTTTTGACCCAAGTTTGGAGCTTAACTATTTGCCCATAGCTGGGGCCCTAAAAGGTGCTACCACTCTGGGTCAAGGTGAACCAGATAACACCAGCAATTAAGAGGTGGTTCCATGCTCCTCAAAACCTCCTGATCAGAGGCCTTGCTGTTGGACATAGTTTATCGTCTTACCCAGGACGCGGATGTAGTTTATCGTCTTACCCAGGACGGTGCTTGGGGAATAAAGAATAAAGAAAAATAATTTGAATAAGGAACAAAGAATAAAGAAAAAGTTTTGCATGGTTTATGCAGAATGAAGAAAATTATTTTAGTTTGGGATTAATTCATATATTATATAGTTTAAATAATTGATTATGATTTACAATATTTATATTGTCGTCATCTTTGTTGTTCTTTTTTATCACAACTAGACAATATCGCTAGACATGAGCAGTGGAACGAGAACAGTTTACCCCCCATAGATTAAATAAAGGGTTCAGTTTGGAATTCCCTGTTGGTTACCCAAATCGATATACAACTGAGGAAGGGTGGATGGCACAATGGCCAAAATGTTGTGATTAAAATAAAAAACAAAAAGGTGAGGACAATATAAATATTGTAAATCATAATCTATTTTTAAAGTATATGATACATAATCCCAAACTAAAATAATTTAAATAATTACATAAAAAACAAAATTCAACAAAATTTACTCACTTTTGTTTATCAGACATTAAATTATGTCACTTAGCTTCCTCCATAGTTTACCTTGACTTTTCAGTTAGTGTGATGTATACAAATATTTAAGTAAATGCTCTGTTTATAATAAACAGTATTAACAACATTTACCGGTCTGAATGTCCGAGAAATTTTCATAGAAAATATTCGTCCTCCGACAGGAATCGAACCAGTATCCTACATGGAACCATCATATAGTCTGACATGCTATACAATTTAGCTACAGATGAAGCGTTTGGTTAGCAAAGTCAAATTATTGTTTTTAAACAACAAATTTCCCTTGATTTAAAAACAGTGATTTGACTTTGCTAACCAGACACTTCCTCTGTAGCTAAATGGTATAGCACGTCAGTCTATATGACAGTCCTGTGTAGGATACAAGTTTGATTTGTTCTGAGTATAACTACAAACTGCATCCAGCAGCAAGGTCTCTTATTGGGAGGATTTGAGAAGTGTGGAACCACCTCTTGCTGTTGTTCCCAGGTCCACCCTGACCCAAGGTAGTAGCACCTGTTAGAGTCCCAGCTATGGGTAAATAGCTTAGACTGATCTTACCAAAGCAATGCGGCAGTTAAGTACCCTGGCTAACCTAGAGATTCTAAGGAGAGTAGTGGAACCCTGGTGGAGGAAATGCCATAGAAGCCTCTCAGTTTGTCGGACTCTCACTTTGTGCATTAGTGGGCACGCACTAAAGTGGACCCAAACAGTCTTGGACTTCAGCAGCCTGCTGTAACTCTCAGACAAACTCTTGGTCATCTTGGATCCTCTCCTTGCCAGTGAAATTGTTTTTCCGGGAGCTGTGTGTGTGTGGCTGGGACTGTGCAATCCTAGCACCACCTTAAACAATTCTGAGTGCGGACTCTCTCTTTCCTCTCCTTTTCTTTTTTTCAAAAAGTTCTGCATTAACAGGCAATGGGTGATGAGGGCAGGCATAGGATGATGCTAGTAGCCCTTAGTTCGAAGCCTTCACATTGGGAGGTGGGGTCGTAAGCAAGATGGCCGTTTCATTGCACCACTGGGACTACAAATCGTCTTGTGTGCTACTTGCGTGATCAGGCAGACCTTTTCCAAAGAAGGGCACTGCCTGGCTTGCATGGGGAGGGGCCTATAAAAGGTGGTCTAAAAGATGCTGGTTCCAACTGAACTGGCCAGGAGGCCGTACCTGGTTGGTCATCTCTTATTGCAGTCGACGAAAAAAAATTGAAATGTTTTGTTCTTGTTACCTGGAATATACGAACCCCTACTGGACTGATCTGATCATAGTAGACCACACCGAAGAACTGCGCTGATCGCATCTGAACTCAAGCGCTACAATGTAGGTATTGCTGCACTCAGCAAAACAAGATTCCCTGATGAAGGTTCTCTAACTGAGGAAGGCGAGAGATATACATACTTCTGGAAAGGTCTTCCCGCAGAGAAAGTCAAGTCCATGGTGTTGGACTTGCTGTTCACTCAACGCTTCTAAGGAACCTTACTTCTGTTCCAATTGGATACAGTGAAAGACTAATGACCATCAGAATTCCTCTCTCCAGTAATGTCTACACAACTATTTTCAGTATGTGCCCCGACCCTGGATACCGACAAAGGTATAAAGGATGCCATCTACGAATCACTCAATGCAGCCCAGCAAGTGGTATCTCGAACAGATAGACTCAGGACTAACTTGTTTCCTGCAATATTGATCCAACATAATTGGAGAACCTTGCAGAGGATAGGGTCAGCTAGTGGTCTCTCTGCATCACCAGAGTGGCGCACTTCGAGGAGGAGAGCCAAAAAATGCTTGAGGGGAGGTGATGCCAGCATCATCTGCAGCCTGCCAATTCTGCACCGGGCATGTCTCCTTGTCATCTGTGCCCGAGAGCTGCTGACTCATTTGGCAGCCCACAGAAGACGGACAGAGATAGATGGACAGCATTGTCATCAATGATGGACAGCCTAAGAAAAGAGAGACAGGTTCAATTCCTGTTGGAGGACACATGTTTTCTATGAAATTTCTTGGACATTCAGGCCGGTAAATGTACTTAATACTGTTTATTATAAACAGAGCATTTACTTGAGTATTTGTATCTATAAAAATAACGTATAAACAGAAAAACTAAAAATTAAATTAAAAATAACATTAAAATAATTATCGAATTATGTCCATTTCATAATATGTATATGACATGACGATATATAATTTTATATATTGAGAAAATAGTATGACATATTGGAAAAAAGTTACAATGTCGGATGGTTAGGGACAAAGATGATGGAGCAAACAAGAAAAAGAATATAGATGAGGTTGGCTAGACTGAAAAAATATTCTTTAAAAAAAAAAAAATTTCTTTCAAAAATATTCTTTCAAAAATGTTGAAACTACCAGCGTCTCTCATTTTGTGTGCATGTGTAGATGTAGCAACGTCAACAAAGCCCAGTCTGATGAAATGCTAATAGATGAAATGCATCACAAAAACTTTTTCCAATTTGTCATACTATTTTCTCAATATATTTTTTGTTTCGTTTTGGATTTGAAGGTCTGATGAATTGGGGTCGTTTTTTCGACCCTAATGAAATAAATATAACCTCATGAAATTTTAGTGTTTGTTCCTTTTATAATAATTATTGCTCTATTTCTGACAGATCTCTCCCTGGATTTATATCCTTTTGGAAATATCCATACTGATCACTATTATATATATATATATATATATATATATATATATATATATATATATATATATATATATATATAAAATGTATATAAGATATTGTATGGCTTTGCACTAAGCTAAAGTTAGCAAATATCAGGTTATGTAGATAGTGGAGCAATGATTAGCAAATAAATACTGCTATACTATGTTCACTCCTCACTGGGTGCCTGAACTAAGCTTGATAAGTGACTATTAAAGGTGCATCCCCATGGAGCAATGGTTACTAGCTAGCTTAGTAGACCATTACTACTGAAGTGTGTTTTATTTTCATTAGGCACTCTATATTTGAGCCCTTGTGCCAGACTATGAATGAAGCTGCAAAGATTTAAGGATGATAATAAAAATAATAACAGAAAGCTTAAGAATAATCGTACTGATTGGGAATGCTGCCTGGGAAGAGGAATCCGTGCCATGCAACATTTCGTAAATTCAAAGAAATTGGTGGGCCAATTACAACTCTCAGAAGTTCAACCTGAAAGTAAAATTATGAAATTTATGACAAATTATGAAATTTAATTTATAATCAATCAACAAAGAAAATAAACAAGTAAGCAAACAAAAAAAAATAGTTCTTAGGAGAGTCTAAAAAAGGTGCAAGTAAACTTATAGTTAATAGTGTGAAAAATGGAGATGGGAAGCCAGGTTCAAATTACAGCTGAGACATTTGGGTTGATTTTATTTTTTTTAATTGATTTTTTCCCTATTCTAGAATTTTGCAAAGTTCTATGATGTGATTGAACTTAAATTTATCCAATATTTTCTGAGTACTTTTTGACATTCATAAAATCCAAACATCAAACTACATAATAATGATCTATGTGTATTTATTTATATATTTCCTGTGTATTTATTTATATATTACCTGTGTATTTATTTTTATATTTCCTGTGTATTTATTTTTATATTTCTTTTCCCATCTGTAGTGGTAAGAGAGGTAAATCAATTTAAGTTATTAAATTTATGAATGGTTACCAAGTGTTAGAGAATATGAGAGTAAAAAAATAACACTATTAATGAGAGAGAACAATAAAAGAACAAGAATTAAGACAGAAGATAACGATTGACATTGTATTTAAATTTTTGAAGATCAAAGGCAATAAAGCCACTAGGGCGCAAGAGGTTACTGAGTGTTAGAGAATATGAGAAAAACTACTATTAAGGAAAGAAGACAATAAAAGAAGAAGAATTAAGAAGACAGAAGATAACGATTGACTTGCATTTAAATTTTTGAAGATCAAAGGCAATAAAGCCACTAGGACGCAAGAGGTTACTGAGTGTTAGAGAATATGAGAAAAACTACTATTAAGGAAAGAAGACAATAAAAGAACAAGAATTAAGAAGACAGAAGATAACGATTGACATTGTATTTAAATTTTTGAAGATCAAAGGCAATAAAGCCACTAGGACGCAAGAGGTTACTGAGTGTTAGAGAATATGAGAAAAACTACTATTAAGGAAAGAAGACAATAAAAAAACAAGAATTAAGAAGACAGAAGATAACGACTGACACAGAATTTCAATTCTTGAAAATCAAAGTTAACTGGGAAACAAGAAGCCAGAAGAGAGTTCCACAAGTGAGAAGTGTGAGAGAAAAAAATGTTAGCATAGAACTTATGGTTAGATCTAGCCATTTCAACTATAATGATGAGACTTTGCTGCCAATCTAGTACTGTGCTTAAATTTATAAAGTCTAGGTACCTTAGAGGAAAGGTCCTCAGAACAAATATGATGAAAGTATTTATAGAAAAGGCACAGGGAAGCTATGTTATGACAGTGGGAAAATGACTAAAGCCAAGATGCCAGGTCAGTCCCAATAGTATTTCAGATTCTTCATTGTATTTTATCAAGAATCTCTAAATATACAGGGTGTGATGGGTAAATTGATATTTTTAATTTTGCACATGTGCATTGTTTGTTTTTGATTTTGTTGACTGCACAGTATAGTAGAGTCAGTTGTGCACCGTCTGTGAGAAAAAGAGCGCCATGATGCAATTCACACCAGCAGAAATTTGGAAACAGTGTGCTGTACTGCTTGGCATTTGTACCGGAAACTCCAAGACGAACATTTCAGAGTGTTTGAGTGTCAATCTTGTGTAGAGGATTCAAAAAGAGTTAGATGAGTCTAATGGGGATTATGAAGGTATGGCAGCTTGGAAAACTCACTCTGATTATTCTAATAAGAAAAGAACCCCTGAATTTGTTGGTGAGGGCCCCACATTCAACACAGAGGCCTAGATCAAATGCCTTGAGCAGATAATGCTGCCCTGGGTCAAGAGGGTGGCTGCTGAATGACCCTATGTCTGGCAACAAGACTGCACCATCCAAGACAAGCAGGAGAACCTAGTCATTGCAGTCAGACAATTTCTGTGACCACATCACCCCTTACATCCGGCCACCTAACTCCCCATACTACAACCCCCCCTTGATTATTACGTGTGGTGCACAGATGAGCAAAAAACCAACAAAACTCCTTGTAACACCAAAGATGAACTGAAGGCAAGGATTATGGCAGTATTCACCAAATTAAACAAAGAAACTGTCCAGAAGGGTTGCAGGAGATTCCTAAGTCGTCCGGAGGCAGTGGTTGAAGCCAATGGTGATTTTATTGAATAAATTTACTCTTTAGTATTTTCAAGATATTTTTGTGTAATTTAATTGCTGATAGTTTAAATTTCATCTTTCTGCATCTTGTTCTTGCCTGGACATCACGAGTTCACCAAATATTGTTTGTGGGATAAATGTACCAGCATTGATTAAATATTTACTGAAAAATGTTCACACCGTCAGACAAAAGAAGTGGTTTCTGCAAGAAGAGCACTTCTCACTCACAGTGGCTATATTTTTGTTCTTTCTTGTCTTGAAGTCAGAACTGTATTCCTCTTGTGTGTCAACACCATTCTTTCGTCTTTGTTATGTCCTCTGATCAAGAGATTGGAGGTTATGAGGAGCATGGAATCACCTTTTAATTGCTGTTGTTCCCAGATCCAATCTAGCCCAGGGTGGTAGCACCTGTTAGGGTCCCAAATAATGAACCCCCAAACTGGGATCAAAACATGAAAATATAAAAATACATTAGGAAAAATTAACAGCAATACATTTTAACAGTAAAAAGAAATAAAAAATTACTAGTAATACATTTTCATAGTAAAAAGAAATAAAAAATTATTCAGGGAAAAAAACTACCAGCAATATTTTTTGAAAAAAAATTACCAAAGCTCACAAGAAAATAAAATTTTGCCATTAATGACACAGAGAGTTGATGTGCCGTTAACCAAAACACTATTCTTTGTGAACTTTTTTGCTTTATTACTGTTGCTTTGCCTAGTTTTGACTTATATATATATATATATAATAATGGACTCTCCCATCGGTTTCAACGTATGAGGATCTGCCAGCTTATTGATTCAGTTATGAAAGTTTATGTGCTAATCTTAAGTGGCATTTAAGACCCGATTTACAAAGAAGGCCACATATGGAGCAAGTGTGAGGATTGTGAGATGAGATCACTGTTAGATTGGTTGACCTTTTAGATCTTGCTCTCGCTTCTTGAAGATGATTCAGACAAGCAGATTAAAAATTGCTGAGTCCACTAAAACACGTTGATCTCCATTCTACCCGCTCCAAAGCTAAGTGCTCAAGGGTGTTATGTGGTATATTAACTGCTGACCAGTTGCTTTTCAGCTTGTCTTTGTATCTTAGCTATGGGCCCTGATCTAACTGGCTGTACATTAGGATCTTGGGTATCCTGTCATCAGACATTCTCAAGACGTGACCAGTCCACCGTAACTGAGACTGTATGATAAAAGTCTCGATTGCTCTAATATTACACCTATTAAACAGGTCTACGTTAGATGTCCTAACTTGAAGCTTAACTCCACAGATTGCATGCAGACAGCTTTAATGGAAAACATCTAGCTGGCGTATATGGTACCTGTATGGAGTCCGTGACTCTGAGCCATACAAAAGGATGGCAAGTACAAAAGCTCTGTAAACCTGAATTTTCGTATCCAGTCGAATACCCCGCTCATTCCACAAGTGATGGCGAAGTTTGCCGAAAGCACTGGTAGCCTTAGCAGTCCGATGCATGATTTCATCATCTAAAGTTCCACTGAAATTGACTTTGCTACCAAGATAGGTGAAAGACTTTACATAGTTCAGGGGTTTGTCTTCTACTCTCAATGGTCTCTCTGGAAATTTGTAGACTGATGGTTTTTGTTTCTCACCACAGAATTGCTTAGTATAATTTTGCCCTGTTCTTTTTTCTTTCTTTCCTTATTGTTTATTGGAAACTTTGTCAATTCTGCTTCTTGAGCGTTTTTGTCAATTACACTTACCTATGGCTGATTACTCCAGAGAAACATTTGAATCCATAACATCACTCTCAGCTCCAGAGTAAATAGCAGGGTATACTGGTCTCTTTAGCCTTGGGTGGCTATTAGCTTTGAGAGAAGGAAAACTCTGAATTCTAAATTGTGGAGAAGAGAATTGGGAAACTACTCCACTATCTTTCCTAGGAATACAATTAATAAAGAAATAGTATCTGCAGAGAGTCAACAATCACCCACGACCTGAAGGGACAGAGCATGTCCGAAGTACTTACCACTGATTTTCCAAAGATTTCTTTTAATTCTTCTGTGACAAGCAAAGTCTTCAGCATTGAAGGACATTGTGATTTCTTCAGTAAGTAAACCTGAAGAAAATAGAGAAATGTCAATTAGTAATTTAGCTAATCTATCAATTCATTTTACAAGAAAATGATTTTGTTCTTGCAGTTCTGATTAAATTATGAAGGTATTTTGTTACTTAATTTTTTATCTTTTAAAACGATTTCAGTAAATACACAAAGATGAGGGGTGGAAAACAAGATAGTGTCTTCTCACAAGACTTATTCAAACATTACAGTGAAACAATACTGAAAGAATTAGAAATCCTACCAGAATTCATTATTGGTTGCTACAATCATAAACTACGCAGATTCTACTGCTATAAGGTTGCCTTTCTATGCCTTTTTTATAAAGACTTTCATGATAATTATTCAGATGAGTTTTTCACTATGGTACCTAAATTTTTGAATTTACTGTATTTGACGGCATATAAGATGAATGGGTGTATAAGATGCACCCCAATTTCAGTTTCAGCAGGGCAAATCAAGAAAAGATTAGTAATTAGTAAAATTATTAGTAAATGATACAGCCTAGGCTATATATATGATGTCTTATTTTGGTTAAACAAGCCATGATTACAATTAAACAAAAATAATAGGAAAAAAAGAACACAAGCCTAGCCTATAAAAACTTTATTATCTCCAAAGGTAAGAAAACAAAATAAAAATCAAGCAATTATTAAAATTGAGCAAAACAGAACAGTTACCATTAAAATTCAGTCAAAATTTTTCCTTTATATGATCTGTACAGCCTGTGTCTTGTAAACATCTTAGTGGAATAATTAGGATATAAAAATTCTGATTGTATTTATACCAATGCAACGGGAAGTTATCGCAAGAAAAATATTAAGGAAACAAATATATTTTACAAATATATAATTTCATTTTATTGCATATAATTTTAGTGAAACAAAATACTAATATTAAACGTGATGAAATTAATATATGAAATATTATCAATGATAACACTTTTAATCTGTCTAATATAGCCTTTTAAATAAGGACAATAGGTATATAAAAGTTACTCTAACGTCTAAGCTAATAGGAGTTGCCAGGTCGTTAATTTCGGTCGACTATCGTGAATTTTAAACCTACATATGGCATATAAGACTCAGGGGAATTTTAAAAGATATTTTCTGTAAAAAAAAAAAAAAAAAAAATATATATGCTGTCAAATATGGTAAGTGCAGTAATAGACTGGCATCAAGATCTCATCAATTTACAGTTGAGCTGGCTGGATGTAGCCATAAATTCTATGCTAGCAGTTCTTTTCTCATACTTCTCGCTTGTGGAACTCTCTTTTGGTTCCATGCTTTACAGCCAACTTTAATCTGCAAAAAATTAAATGCAATGTCAGTCTTTTGTGACGTATGGTAGCCGTTAATAATTAAGTATAACTCAAGATTTTCAGTGTCAAGATAAAACGGTATTTAATTACAACTGCAAATAAATACTTAACAGGAACAAAGAAGTAAAAGTCAACTAAAGATAATTAACAATTTCACTGAATACCTTGTTAGTAGCGCAACTCGGTTTAACATCCATTAAATCATAAATCAAAACCCAATCATCAACACAATAATTCACACTAATTTGACTAGATAGTTCCACTAAATAGTCACTCAATAATCACTGCAGTCAGTAGCCTGACACTGCTATTTTTACACCTGGTGGAAAACATATATTCATAAGTCAAGAGTGTCACACTTGAACCTCAGTGTTGGTAGTGACTCATTTTCTTCCTGTATGAAACAATTGCTATCTGCTGTCCTCCTGATTACTCTTTTCTCTTCTTGTTCATTATTAATGTTTCTGTTCCTAATTCTTTCACACTCAGTAAGTAATGAAGGAAAGTGAGAAGAAAGATCTAAATATCAATTCTAAGACAACATGTATGGTTGTAAATAAAATATCTACGAATCGTTTTAACAGAGGACAGAAAATATGACATAGAAATCTGCAGGCGCATTGTGATATCCAAAGATGCCTTCCAAAAGCTAAGCAAAGTATTAAGAAACAGAAAAATTTCATTAGAAACAAAGAAAACAGTACTGAACTGTTATATAATAGTGGTCCTCCTATATGGCAGTGAATACTGGACAATCTCCTCACAGATGAAGCAGCTTGAGGCAACAGAAATATGATTCTACAGAAGGAAGATTGACCGAATATGTCAGCAATGGGGAAGTTTTAGGAAAAATAGAAACAAAAAGGACACTTAGATTCAAGAAGAGACAATTGAAATTTATAAGGCATATAATGAGGAAAGAAGGATTGGAGAACTTGACACTCACAAGACATATTGAAGGTAAGAAGGACAGAAGAAAGCAGCAAATAACCTACGTAATAAGCTTGTTTAAATGGTTGGCAGAACAGGGTTTAGGAGAGACATCAAAAAGACAAACCTTACTAAGAAGTATAATGAACAGGAAGTTGTTGAGAGCCATGACTAACCAAGTCCTGAAAGAACATAGCATGTAGAAGAAGCAGCATCAATAAACATTTAAGAATTACTTACATTTCCAAGTGATCTCTCCAGTTGGGAAGTGATTAAAAGAAGAGAGAGTAAATCATTCACTGGACATTCTTCATGTAGAAGTTGAAGGATCTTGGGAAAAATCTGAAAAGTTTCAAAGATAATGTCTAAATTTAACTCTCTTGTGAAAAATTGTTGGATAATTCTTATAAAATTCTTAGTGTTCTAAAAAATAACTCAGGTTAATGGAAGGAATATTATTGATAAAATATTTAACAATTCTGTAGATAAATTTTGTAAAAAAATACCACAGTTCTTAAAAGAACTTAGTATTCAAATACTAAAAACCATGAAAAAAGTTTATGACATGATTTTATGAAAAAAGCCCTGAGATTATGATTCTGGTAAAAAAAAAGAAACCACATTAGACTTTTAATTTTGGGAAAAAAAAAGACCATAATCTATTTAGTGAAAAAGTACTTAATCTATGAATTTTGCGACAAAAAGACTATGAATTTTGTGACAAAAAGACTCTAATCTATAAATTTTGCAATAAATAAACCATAATCTATTAATAGTATGACAAAAAGGTGCTCATTTATGAATTTTGTGACAAAAAGGCCCTCATCTATGAATTTTGTGACAAAAGACATTAATATATGAATTTTGTGACAAAAAGGCACTAATCTATGAATTTTGCAATATAAAGACCTTAAATTATGAATTTTGTGACACTAATCTATGAATTTTGCAATAGAAAGACCTTAAATTATGAATTTTATGACAAAAAGATCCTAAGCTATGAATTTTGTGATAACAAGATATTAATCTATGAATTTAGTATAAAAAGGCACTAACCTAGGAATTTTGTGATAAAAAGACCATTAATAGCAATATTTTAACCTCTGTGCTTGCAAAAAAAGTGTTATGTCAAAAGACAGTTATTCCCTTGACACTACTATTACTGTATACACTTTTGATGCCCTCAGCAATGTTTATTTACATGATTATAAAAATATGTGAACAAAGGCCAATGTGATATTTATTACTTACCATTTTATAAAAAAATAAATTTGAAAAGAAATATTTTTATTCAAAAATTTATAAACAATTACAAAATTAGAAAAATATGTAAACCAACTACAATGCAATATTTTCAGTAAAAAACTGTAGACATTCTGTAAAAAAGAAAAACTTTGTTCATCCAAAGAATAGGGAGATAAACACTCAAAATATTTTGTTTGTGGTCATGCCTAAAATCTAAAAATTAAAAGATTGTTTGGTTTTGAGGAAGAGAAGCTCTTAATTTATTTTAGTGGATTTATATGATGAGAAAATATGAAAGAAAAGACTGGAAAATGCATTTTTTTTAAAATTTATAATTGTAGTTACTTGTTGTCAGGTGTTTATTTAAATTTTCTTGTTCACAGACATTTTTATAAATTTATGAATAAAAAAATGTTATAGTTGGCTCACATATGTCATATTGTAAATATAAAATTATAAAATTATTCTTTTAAATAAACAATCTAATAAATAAATAACATTTAACATCTTTGTTGTCATTTTTCAAAACTGAAGAAAGTATAAATCCACTTTCATGTATTTGGGTTTTTTTAAAATTCTAATCATCGTTTTTTTAAAACAAACATTGCCGACATAGTCTGTACCCTTGTCAGGGGGCCCGTCTACAAAACTCTGGAATTAGGACACTGAAAGTAACACCAATCAGCTAAGTGACAAACCTTTACTTATATTAATTCTATTAATCCTCTGTCTTTGATATTGAGCACTTTATTGCAAAAACTGCTTGCCTTAAGTGTTTTTTCTCTCAGTTCTCAATATCCCATTGACTGACAGCATTTTTGGCTTCATACTAATATTGACATTGCTATATATATATATATATAGTACAGTAATAAATCTGTTGGTATATAATCTAAGTGGGGCACCTTGAGCTGGTGTAATGGTTAGCGAGCTTGTCTCACTAGAACAATTACGACTGAGTAGTGAGTTCAATCCTCACTGGGTGCCCCTTACTTTCGGCCTTGTGCCACATCCAAGCTACGCTTGTAAAATCACTATATAATCCAAGTGGATCCTGGTAATATGAAATATTAAAACTGATCCACAAAAAGAGCTCAATGTATTTATTATAACAGAGCATATAAATTACACAATAGAAAAATCCAAAAATTACCTCATATGGGGGGAGGTAAGAGTGGACGGACATGTCTGCATATGAAATTCTGGAATCGGGATGCTGAAGGTAACACCAATCAGCTAAATGACAAACTTTTACTCATATTAAGCTTATTAATCCTCTACCTTTGATATCGAGCATTTTTGCAAAGACGTCTTGTCTTAAGTGCTTTTTTCTTATATCCCACTAACTGACACCATTTTTAGCTTCATTTTATTTTTGACATCACTATATATATTCAGGGAGGCATAGTGGAGTAATGGATAATGGCTCGGACTGAGGAATCGTAGAGCCGAGTTCAAATTCCAGTCGAATCCATTACATTCACTTACATGCTTATACCCTTGGGAAAGTTATGAATCTTCTTCTTCTCCTCTCCAGCTATGGGTAAATACCAGGACAGAATGGGTTCTATAGCCTTGGATGGCAACTGGTCTACCACAGATAGAAATGGCAACCTACTGCAGGGAAAAAAATCTGCCTCATCAGTCATGTATCGAAAGATACATGATTGATTAAGTGTGTATCACACATGGCACGTAACTGATATATATTCAAGTAATACTGAAGTAATTCAAATACTAAAAAATGGAAAACTTAATAATGAAACCCTAGCCTCACTTGGCGTTGAAAATTTATTCACTAACATCCCTGTTAGCAAAACTATTGATATTATTATAAGAAACATATACAATAATCCATCTCTACCTCTACTTAAAATTAGACCTAGTATATTAAGAAAACTACTGCTAACTTGCACTACCAAAGTCCCATTCTATGGTCACAAAAATAAAAATAATATATATATATATATATATATATATATATACACACACAACAGGATGGCGTCTCCATGGGTTCAATTCTAGGTCAGACTTTTAGCAATTTCTATATGTCCAATCTTGAAAATAATATATTTAACAATTTTAAAAAATCCTCCAAAGATACCTTGACTTATATTAGTCAAGAATATGGACAAAATACATCAACTCCAAAACCAATTCCAAAATAATTCTGTCTTTAAATTTACATACGAAACTTAATAATAGCAATAAAATTTCTTTTCTAGATATATTGATAAACACTAACAATTACAACTTTACTATCTCCACATATAAAAAAAAAAACTACCAGCATAAATTCCTGTACCCTTAACTATAAGAGTGAATGTCCAAATTACTATATAATAGCAATTTATAAAAAAAAACTTATAAACTGCACAAAAATTGATTCATCCATAAAACAGATTTTGTACAGTGAACTAAAAAATATAAAACTAACTCTTATTACTAATAACTTCCCTACATATGATTGGTTCCTACATCTGGCAGCAAGGCTTCTGATTGGGAGATTGGACGTTTTGAGGAGCATATAACCACTTCTTAATTGCTGTTGTTCCCTGGTTCACCTTGACCTGGGGTGGTAGCACCTGTTAGGGTCCTGGCTATGGGCAAATACTGAACCCCCCACCTAAACAAAAATCATCAATACATTTTTATAATAAAATAACTGTTATAAAGTACTTATGGATTATAATGGGTATGTCCCAATTCCTGTAAATACAGTGGTATATACTGTATGTTGTCTTCCACTTGGAAGTCACTTCCCGGTGTGCTGGTCAAACTTTCTGCTTCTGGGCAGAGAGGAACCTAGACGAGGCTATGCCAAAGGGCAGAGTCTCGTCTGGGGTGGTAGACAGCTACCCGACACCGTTTTTTATGGGGTCTACAGCGAATTTCTGGCCGAGCTTACAGGCTTGGATACCCCACAATAAAACTCGGCCTTGTACCATATCTGACCATGTGGTGTGGTCAGTGGATATCTTCTGCTTGGGATTCACCTTGATTCACTTCTAGCTCACCACTAGCAGTTGATGACTTACTACACGCTGCTGGCAAATCTTGTATGTTGTTTCTGTTATAAATATTATCGTTCCATTTACAACCTTCGTTTCAGTTATTCTTATTCAGTAACAGTTAAAACATTTTGGCGACGAGGATTGGCCAGAATACAACAATAATATAAAATAGCAAAATGACAATCAATGCAACACTAAAAAAATATAAAAATACATTTTTATTGTAAAATTACTAAGAATACATTTTATGATCAAAAAACTATATATCTAAAAAAAAAAAAAAAAAAAAAAAAAATACCTTTACCCAGAAAGTATAAAATTATGTACAAAATATATACATTTTGGTATTAAATAACCCACAGAGGTGTTGATATACTGCTGAGCAAAATCAACTAACCAACCAACCCAATCCTAAACAGGAAACAAGAGATAACAAGGAATCTATCTCTTTTTTAAAAGACTTGGGAGGAATGTGAATGGACAATAGGTGAACCTGTAGCAGACTGTGGCGGTGATGAGTATGTAAAAGAATACACGTGAGTTAAAATTTCCTGCTAGCCGGTCCAACTACATGAGAAAGTTGGACTTTAATTAAGTTTAAAGAAAACAAAGAAAAGAAACACAAGACCAATGAATATATGTAAACAAATATATATATTAATAACAAGTTAAAGGTTACAAATTACATGGACAGTTACATAGACAGAGTGCGTGTGGTGAATATTATGTGTGTGTATGTGTTGTGTTGTGTTGTGGTGAGTTTTTGTACGTATGTGTATTGTTCTTAGCGTGGTCCCAGAATTTGGGAAATGCTGTATCTGTGAGAGCTCACATCTGCGAGGTGGTATAAGGCCGAAGACCCGAGGAAAAAAAAGGAAGAGATGAAGGGTCACCCAGTATTTATAGCCAGGGAAGAGAGACCCCTGGTGAAGGGTTAAGGAGCTGAGGAGGAGCTAACTCCGACAAACCTATCTATATGAACATTGATGAATTAAAGTTTAGTTCTACACAAGGGCACAATTATAGAGTTCTCAGTGAGACTACACAATGAACATGAAATAAAGGCGGACAGTATATTGGTAATTAGAAATTAAATTTTTACCTGTTCATTTCCTGTCCATGCCAAAAGTTTTGAAAATTTGTCATGATACTCAGAACTTGTCAGCTTTTTCAATTCTTTTTTAGCCTCCAGGAAACATGGGGCTAAATTTCCGACACAGCACCTGAAATATTCTGTAGTATCTTCTTCATCTGAAAATAAAAACAGATTTAATAATGTTATCTTACCTTACTTATTATAAAACGCAGATTGTGTGTGTGTGTGTGTGTGTGTGTCTGTACGTTTATATATTGGATCGGATTTCCTACATTTTTCAACCGATTTCAACAAAACTTCACAGGACTACGTAAAATTATCTTGCAGTGGTTCTGACAGCGCCCAAAATTGGAAAAACACAATTGTTTTTGCACAAAATCAATTTGAAAACACAATTAAGTGGCATCACTCAGCAGAATGAAAGGGGGACAACTCATATCGAGTTATACTTATAAAACCCAGGTTGTTTGTGTGTGTGTGTGTGTGTTTACATATGGGATCGGATTTCCATTTTTCAACTGATTTCAACAAAACTTCACTTTTTTTGGCATGTAGTGTTTCTTATTGTCCTGCACACTTTTTTCTTTATTTTTACATTCAGAATGCTTTAAAAATTCCATTTACAAGACAATTGTTTATAATAAAATTCTATTCAATTGATAGACTCATAATGATTGAAAACAATGTTTTAGTTTGAGTTTGACCAATTCGTAAAAAAAAAACAAAAAAAGAAACAAAACAAAAAAAACTAATTAAGACATGAGTGTCCATCAACCTTAAACTATAATCTTTGTCAATTTTATTTTTCAGTCTTTATGATGGTGGATACTTGATCTATCTCTTACTGTTACATCCCCGGGCAACGCCAGGCTCTACTGCTAGTTAATAATAGGGGAGAAAAAATATTCCTTCTAGGATTACCTATAATATACATATGCGACAATAGCTTGTGGGGTAGAATCTTTGACTGATGCCAAATCAGTTTGGTTTCGATCCCGGCTTGAAGCAAACGGATGTGGTGTGATACAGTGAAACAGTCTGTCTGTGGATGACTATTTATGCTTTCGAAATAATTTGATTGAGCTCTTGGAGAGGAAGGGGTGATTTTAAAAACAGTGGCTGCTGCTGCTGCTAATGCAACGTTTTCTACTCAGATCGAGCTCTCTTAGCTAGTGCCATCTTTCACATAATAAAAACGTTAAAATTTCCCTTTCTCTCTGCCATGCAACAATAGCTTGGCACTGTTTCCCTGAGAGCTATAATCTCCAACTATTCAAATGTAATGTCAATCGACATCTCCAGTTACCTTGATATATCCACTATCCCTCTCCTCATCCTTTCCTCTATCACTCCTATCTGCTCTCACTCAAATCTTCTGCAACCCCCTGCATCCTAGTGGCTTCATGCCTTGCTCGGGACGTAATGCTTAAAAACAAAAAGAAAAAAAATGAAAAAAAAAAGTAAAATCTCTGATGTCAAATTGGTCGGGTTTCATTCCTGGCTTGAAGCAAACAGATGTCTAGCCACATTGATGAGCTGTGATACAGAGAAACTGTCTGTCTGTGAATATATATATATATATATGGGAAAACAGACCTCATGTGTATCTATCCTGTTAAGCAGCATTTGTGTGTATAATTTACATGTGTTAGTGTATTACAATTCTAGTTGGTCTATGCGGGATTTGGTTGATAGTGTGTATGTGTGTGTGGGTATTTGAGTGGCTAGTGAGCATTTTCATCTATGTCTTGTTATCTGGGAGATGTTTTGTGTGGGAGTGGAAGAATTTAAGTTACACCTGTTGTGTTTGTAGGTAGACAGAGCTTAGATTCTTTAAGTGTGTATTTTATAAAAGTTAGTGATATAATAAAGTGTGTTTGACATCTGTTTATTAATAGCAAAATATTTATCAGGACTCCCTCTAAGTATTTCATATGTAATAAATTCTTTTCTAATTAGGGTTGCACAAAAATAAAAAAATACCAGATTTTTCTTTTCACAATCCATATTTCATTTTCTGATGAAGCTTAAATAAAAGTGAAACATGTTAAATTTATAAACGTTTCCAATTTGTTCCTTATCCTATCATTTTATCAGATCTTGATCTATATTTGATCCAAATTCATATGGAAAAATGTAATAACTGCCACAAGGAATAAATAAGAGAAACCTCAATGAATTTAAATAAAAGTTTATATGAACACAAACGGGATCTATTACAAAATAACACACTCAACGCAGTAGTTGCTCACTGTAAGGAGTCTGACCATAATTTTGATTTCAAAATGTTACTCTAATTAAAATATAAAGCAATTTACTAAGGGAAAAATTGTATAGAAAGTGCTTTAATCTGTAGATCATCCTCAGTAAATTTACACTCAGGATCCTACATTTCACCTTTCTTCATAGATCTTTTATTATCACAATATGGGATATTTGGTCATACTGGATGTTTGTGTTCACAAAAAGAGGGTGTATCAAAAGGAAGTTTTTTCACTTGACACCACTAATTTAACTACCTTCACTCCTCAGCAATATTTATTGTTTTAAAAAGCGATGTATTGTAATAAAACCTAAAAATATGAAAGTGAATTTATACATTTTTTTGTTTTAGAAAATTTATAGCAGAAATATTAAACACTTTGCAAGAATAATTTTAATTAAAGTAACTAATAATGCAATTTATCATTTAACAAATTTATAAAGAAATAAATTTAAATATGAAAACAATTTTTTATTCATAAATTTAAACATTTTACTAACACCGCTGACAGAGCAATATAGAAAAAAACGTAACCAATATTTTTACACTCTACAGAACTAAATAAAAAGTTTCGAACCAGCTTTAATTACATCAAACAAAATTGTTTTCCTTTTTAATGTTTATGATGACTATTACTTTGCGATTAAATTAAAATATAAAAGTAAAACTTTTGAGAAGTTATTTACTTTCTATTTTAAAAAAAGCATGCATGTCTATCCAGAGTGTCGAAGGAATGTTGGTATACTACTGTAGTTAAGAAAAAAAAAAATCAAATTAAATAAAAAAAATGGTTCAAACAGCTCTTGTATCTCCAAGCGTTACAATTGTCGAACTCTCTGTCTTTGGCAGAGAGGAAGCCGGACGAGGCTTTGCCGAAGGGCAAAGTTTCGCCCGGGAGGTAGACAGACCCTGAAACCGTTTATGCGGGTTCTAAGGGAATATTTTTTTTTAGTCGAACCTACGGGCTCGGAAAACCCACAGTAAACTCAGCCTTGTGCCACATACATCCCTGGTGTGTGTATGTGTGTGTGGAGGGGGGCTGTTAAAACAGCTCTTCTATCTTGTAATAATATCCATTCAAAAAAATCCGAATACTTTTTTACTTTCATGAATAATTTGATGATGTTTTAAAATCAAATCAAAACAATTAAAAACTTCTTCACTTACAATTAGGAAGTACTGGATACATTTTTTGATTTTTAAACAAATATTATCGACAACATTTTTTGTTGTTTATTTGAAATTAAAACTTCAAAGAATTCATTTCAAATTAATGTAATAATATTTTAAAAATTTATGATGAAGAAGTGACTTTTGATTCGATGTTGAAACGTAAGGAAAATACTTTATTTAAATCAAAGATCTTTATTTAAATCAAAAAAAAAAAATGATCCGAAGTTTGCTAAAATAAACAATAAAAATGTTAGACACAGAGCCCTAAAAAAAAAACCCAAAATGAAATGAGAAACTTACATGGAGGAAGGACGGTAGATAAATATTGCCAATTTATTAAGCCACTTTGCAAGAAACTTTGCAGGTGTCCTGGGAATTTTGCATCATGATGTTGGTCTTCATAATCTTCCGAAACCAAATCTGTCGGGATTATTAATTCATCACTGCAGACCCCAACCGTACACAATAAATTTGAAACGGCAGGTGACAAACAACTTTGAACTGATATCAAATCGCGGCTCATGTTTTCTTCATTAGATAAAAAAAAAAAAAATCAAACCATTTTTTTTAATAACTTAAAAAGTTATTTTTATAACAATAACGAAAGGCTAACTAACAAATTTCATAAAAAATTGAAAGCATTTTATTTTTAATTTAAAATGCTTCCATTTTTTACTCTTTTAAACATTTTTTAAAAGAGTAAGTGAAACTAATTTTAAAACATTTGTTTTTTAATTTAAAAACTAAAAAGTATCTTATTTTTTAACGTTATTTCGATAAACATTATTAAACCGAAGTATTTTATCTCTATTGTAGAATGTCATGAATAAACTAAACTATACACAGTAATTGTGTAAGTGAAATTTATAAAAAAAATCATTCAACTTGAAAAATAAATTCATTATTTTAAAAAAGACCTTTTTTAAATAATTTCTTTCCTCACTTCACACACCGTGGGTAACAGTACACATTCATACAACAACAACAAAAAAAAGCTAAGTATTCAGTGTAGAGATTCGAGCTGATATTATTTACACATGATTTTCTGTTATTTCTACTTTTACCTCAAATATTAACCAAAAAAAAAAAAAAAAATTCACGTTTTCTTTTTCGTTAACAAAATAAATTTGAAAATATCTCCAAACATCTTGGATTTGTTGATGTTGTCAACAGGAATTTAGAGTTATTCCCCTTGAGTTATCTTTTCAACTCCAAAACCCACGTGGTTTATTTTTATTTTTTTTTATTTTCTTTCTCCTTGCTTAACGTTTAATAAGAGGGAGGAAAAGTAACACTATTTTATAATGTAAGTAATTTTTTAGTTCTCATCGTAATCTAATTTTATGATAAATATTTTCTTTCCCGCGAAAAAAAAAGTTTAATCTTAAGTCAGTTAATACTAGTGAATAACTTTTGAAACAGGTACTTCCGGTACTTTCTAAATTAGTACTAAAGAAACATTTACCTTAATTTAAAAGTTTACTAAATATATTACAAACTTATGTTAGTATTAAAGTACATATTACATGATTGGCATACAGATAACATGAATTATTAAGTATATAATTATATATATAATTAATTTTATGTGCATCTTAGATGCGATATGCAAATGAATAGCCCTAACGAAATACTCAGTATTTTACTTGGTGGTATATATTTGAAGTACAGCGTCATGTATTTGAAGGTTCTTCGAAGACTTGCTAATGAGGTTACCAACGGAGATTCTGATATCTCGTCTTCACCTTAGGGAAAGTCCCCAGACCTGGAGCAGAGAGTGTTGTCGATAAGAATTACATCTCGTTCTCTAACCTCGGTATTTGCGGTGAAGCCTTTCGGCCGAGCTAGGGGTGAGACGAGTGGCTGTCACACTTAAAGAGAGATGCAAGTGGTGTACGTCTGCGCTAACACAATGGGGATTACTCTCGGAGAACTTTCTCTTTTTTTTTTTCCTATATAAAAAAAAAAAAAAAAAAAAATGGTACCGCTTTCTGTGTGTCAGGGTTTTTTTTTTTTGCATCATTTGCTTTTTTTTTTTTTAACTTTAATTTCTTTGGTTCCTACCTTTGTCTAATGACACTTTTGACTTTTCCAATGGTTTGCTTTAGTTTTTTTTTTTTTTGAGCCTTAATTATTTACTTAATTATTACTTACCTATGGATTCTTTGTATCTACCTTTTTTCTCGATATGTTAGACCAGCGTTTTCCAACCTTTTCTCAACCAACGCCCCCTTTGGGTACAAACTTTTTTGTCAACACCCCCCCTGTCAAATTAAATTTCGAATATTAATTATTATACTGAATTAATCTTTCATAGCAAAATAACACTTAAGTATTAGTGCAAAAATAATCTTAATATTGTTTTCATTTCCATTATAAATAAAACTTTTACTTCATAACTTCTCAATGTTTTCAATGCAATGGTTGACTTTTTGGTGCCTACCGGCCAAGGTTCTTACTCTAGGTTCATTTCATAGCTTATCTCTAATGTTTTCAATGCGATGGTTGTCTTTGGTCCTTACTACTGGTTAAGGCTCTTACTCTAGGTTCCATGCTTCTTGGAAGTAATCGTAAATCACCTTGTTTTGTAATTTGCAGGGGGTTTCTTTGTTTAGTAAGAAGCTCTGTAACTGTGTTGAAACTACATTCAGCCATATAGGAAGTTGAAAAAGCAATGAAGTTCGATAGCTTTCCACAGCACTTTCAGAAATTTCCTTTTATAGCCAATATTGAATAATTTTTGAAAATCTGAAAAAAATGGATACATGCTCACCGCCACTTGAGTATATTCACGCCCCCCCCCCCAATAAAATAAAAAGAACTCCCAGTGCCCACTTTCAACATAAGAGGAGCCCAAAAGGGGGCTCTATCGCCCACTTTGGAAAACACTGTGTTAGACATTTAGAATGATTCTATGTAAAAAAAGGATTCAAATATCTTGTTTTATGATATTTTTTTAGTCAATTTTCTTTTTTTATAACTTTTTTGGATGAAGAAAAATGAAATAGAAGAAGGGAGAAGAATGAAGGAGAAGAAGAAAGTGGGAGCGGAAAAAGAATGAAGAAGAATTACGAAAAAGAGGAAGGAAAAATAATGAAGAAGGGAATGAAGAAGAAGAAGAAGAAGAAGAATGAACGAAAAGAATGAAGAAGAAAAAGAAGAATGAATGAAGAAGAAAAATGAAGACGAATAAGAAGGTGGAAGGATGTAGGAGAGGAAGCGAAATGAAAATGAAGAATGAAGAAAAATTAAGGAAAAAAATGAAAAAGAAGATTGAAGAAGAATTAAGGAAAAATGAAAAAGTAGAATTAAGAAAAAGTAGAATGAAGAGGAAGAAGAATGAAGACGAAAAAGAATGTAGAAGAACGTAGGAGAGGAAGAGAAATGAAAATGAAGAATGAAGAAAATGAAGAAGAATGAAAAGAAAGAAGAAGAATGAAGAAGAAAAGGAGAAGGAATAAAAAGAGTGAAGTAGAAGAATGAAAAATTAAGAAAAAGAAGAACGAAGTGTAAGAAGGAAGAAGAATGAAAAAAAGACGAATGAAGAAGAATTAAGGAAAAAATGAAAAAGAAAAATGAAGAAGAATTAAGGAAAATGTAAAAGAAAAATGAAGAAGAATTAAGGAAAAATGAAAAAGAAAAATGAAGAAGAATTAAGGAAAAAATGCAAAAGAAGAATGAAGAAGAATTAAGAAAGAGTAGAATGAAGATGAAGAAGAAGGAAGAAGAAAAAGAAGGTAGAAGAACGTAGGAGAGGAAGAGAAATGAAGAATGAAGAAAATGAAGAAGAATGAAGAAGAAAAAGAAGGAATAAAAAGAGTGAAGTAGAAGAAAGAAACATTAAGAAAAAGAAGAACGAAGTGCAAGAAGGAAGAAGAATAAAAAAAAGAAGAATGAAGAAGAATAAAGACGTGCGAAAGTGAATGCAGCAAACCGTGGACATACAATGTTTATTAAAATCATTAAGTGTAATTAATAATAAAACTTTTACAAGTTGTTGTTTCCTCTCTACTTGAAGTCCTGCTGAAACCTGCGCTTGTACACGCACAAAGCATAGACCCAGAAGAGATTAAACACACCGGGGTTTTCATTTCCTTCTTGTCGTAACGTTCACTTTCCGACCATAAGACCCCGGTTCGAGTCTACACCATGGTCGATTTGTCAAGAAGGTCACTTCTTGATGTTATCGGCCCGTAGGGATGATTCCAGCGTGCGGTACCCTTGGAAAAGTGCCATAAAAATCATACCACGGGTTGGCCCAACACTTGAAATTGAGTAGACGGAACTATTTGGGAGCCGCCGTCGATGGCTGAGCGAGCACGAATTCCAAAGTCATCGTGACCGAGGGGTTGAACGTGCTGGCCTTGTTCAGACTGCTGATCACGCCAGATAATGCATTCTCGCCCAGAAACTGTAAGGTCTGCTCAGCATAGTTACCGTATAAACCACAGGTGGACTCTGTTGAATAAACTCAAATTTGGGTACTTACATTATTTATCCTCATCTTTATTGCCATATTCACAACGTTTCGGCCGTCGTACGGTCCGACCTTCTTCAGGTGATCAGAATTTCGAACCGAACCCTTTATTTCGTCCACCAGGGTAGATTGTTCTAGTTCCACGTGCCATGCCTTTTCGGATGTCTCAGTTATTTCCCTTTAACTCAATTCTGCTAGTTTTGTTTCATCACTGCTGTGGCCTGGTATTGAACTCACAACTCTTTGGGTCTAGTCACTGGATCTAACCAACTGAGACATCCGGAAGAGGCATGGCTCGTGGAACCAGAATAATTTACCCCAGTGGACGAAATGAAGGGTTCGGTTCGAAATCCCAACCACCTGAAGAAGGCCGGAGCGTACAACGGCCGGATCTTGTAAATATGGCAATGAAGATGAGGATAACAGTCCGAATAATGTAAATAATGTAAGCAATCATAATACCTAATTTCAGAGATATAGACATACAAATTTGGATGTAAAGTAATTCTCTAACTCATAGGATGTTAAGAGTTCAGAAGCACAGAGAGAAATCTTTTTCTTCTATTTGCCGTGTCCCTTCAGGGCGTGGGTGATCATGGTCCTTCATAACTTCCTGTTCTTTGTAGCTCTTAGCAATGTTTATCTTTTTTTCATCGATTCTAATCCCTGTTCTGCGAACCATTTACAAAATTTTATTAAGCAAGTTATTCGCTGCTTTCCCCTGTTCCTCTTGCCTCCAATTCTCCTGCGAGTGTCAAATTTTCTAAGCCCTCTTTCCTCATTATGAGCCCTAGAAATTTTAACCGTCATTTTATTTCTGATTCTAAGTATAAATTACTTTTTTGTTTCCATTTTCCTTAAAACTTTGTTGTTGCTCGCATGTTCAGCCCATGGTATTCTCAGCATCCTTCTGTAGAACCATATTTCCGTTTTTTCAGTTCTCCTTTTCATCTGTAGGGAAATTATCCAGAATGGACTATTATTCACTATCTTTTTTTTTTGTTTCTTACAAAATCCGCCTGTTTCAGAATACTTTGCTTAGCTTT